AATGCCGTGATCAAAGAGCTCCAAGATGCCACTGTGCAAGGAGACACCAACGTGACGAGAACCGGTCACACTGTCTCAATTGTGGATATGTGTACTGGGCGGGTCAAGATCATGGGCGAGTGGCAAAAGACAAGGAAAACCGATGGACTGCAGCTTTGAGAGTGAAAGTCTTTGTGGAGCATCATCCCATCCTGAAGGGCATGCTCCCGCGTGAAAACCTATGGGGATTCCTGCTTCGTGTGGCTCGCGCCTATGCTGACCAAGGGCCCAAGTGGTTGTCAAAGTTGACGAAAGGAACATCTCATCGTGGAGGGGTGAGATTACCAATCGACAGTCAAAGAATACACCAAGGAACATCGTAAAAGCTATCTGTACATCCATCGAGTACTGGATATAGCAACTGGCAAGTGGCGTATCACGACTACCTGAAGTACCTCATGTCAGATGACGACTACCGCTATGTGTTCTTTCTGTTTGGTGGTCGAAAGAAAGCAAACCGAAATTGCAGGAGACTTCATGGAATTCTGGACAGGAATCTTTGAGCTGGCAGCCTGTTACGAGAGCAGGGTGCACTATTTCCTGAGTGGAGGAACGTCGGCATTCGCTCCTATTCCAATTGGTCAACCAGATCCCGGTCGCGCTGTTCCCAGCACACGTACCGATGATGAGGAGACATGAAAAGAAGATGGGCATGTATGAAGGAGATGATGAGGGTGAACGTGCGTCCGTGAAGGTTCCCAAGAGAGAGATTCCGAGTGAGCCAACTCTCATGGATGTGGAGCCAGAGGAGAAGGTAAGAAGGAGGAGAAGAGAAATTTGATTCCTTCACTGGCCATATGAAGGAGAATCCTTCTTCCATGCATTTCTTTCCCACAGACAACACTGATGGGGTTTCGTCGAGAACAAATGGCCTGCACTTCCATCTGAACTCCTTGAATTCGATCTCAGCAGTTCCCGTAGTCGATGTAACTCCATTGGCTGTGTAGAACGAGATAGGGTCACTGTCATCGTTGACGTTGTTGAGGTTCAATTTCTTGACTCTGCTCTTTGGTATCAAATCATGTCCACAGCCAATGTCCATGATGAATTTCATTCTTGCTTGATGAGCAGGCGCCGAGATTGCCATGCCATCACCACATCTTCATGTCTTCCACACACGTGAGGAATGACCTGGTGATGGAACACTAATCCTTCATCGTCATCAAAGGACATCGCCATTGCTACGTCTCCTTTCGTGCTAGCCGGGATGATCACCACCCTTATCACGCTGAAAGGCTTGCCTGAGCGCGTAGAGCACCAAATCCAGATTGTTCTTTCTGCTTCTGACCTTTCTGTAGAAGATCAGGTCAGGCAGTAATGGTTTCTTGATGATCTCTTTCCAAACTTTGTTGGGCTCCGGGTGAACATCCACTAAATACTGACATGATCGAAGCACACCTTCATGCCTAATCTGACATTTCGGTACATTCTCTTTGCACTGGAACTATGTTCATGTGGTACTGCTTCATCATCGGAGTCTTCAGCTGAAACGCAGTGCCCTATCACAGGAGAAGCTTCGCCTTTGGTTTTGGTTTCGGCCTTGGTCCATCCGCTGGGGCAGCTTTGGTCTTTGGCTTGCCTTAAGATCATGAAACAATATGCAACTGTGCCCTTTTGTACATTCACCTCTCACCCAACTCCAGCACACTTCGGAGTGGTGGATCTTTCTCTCTCTTTCTTGCGCATGTAAGGACATTTCTTCCCATTCTTGCATTCACCTGCAAGGAGAAGAATTTGCATGGAATCCTTCATTTGTCCTGGCTTAGACTTCTGCTCGGATCTCTCGGTTTGCCTTTCCCTTTGCCTTTGCCCTTCTCATCCCCTTTACCTTTCTTGTCCTTGTCTTCAACTCTCTTCTTTGGAGAAGATTGCGGTTTCACTGGCGTTGCTTCTTCTGCGAGTGAAGGTGCTGCTTGACTCTTTGGATTGGCTTTCGGCCCTGGTGCTCCAGCGCTCTAAGCTCTGTCTTGGGGGCAGGTGCTCCAGGCTTCAGGTTGAGCAATCTTGTGAGATCTTTGACTGGCTTCTCTTTCTACGTGATCATTTTATCCTCCCTTTGCTTTTCAATGAACTTCTTCGTCATCTTTCTCAAGTAGTCACAGGTCTTCCCAGGGTCTCCTTCAACCATGCTTTCATATGCGCGGATGTCAAAGGCCACGAGATTTGAATTCTTAATCTTCCTGTACAAAGAACCTCTTAAGGTGCTCTCATTTGGAGCATCTCCAGGTTTCATGTTGCTGAGAACCTCCTGCAAAGGATGGAAGAATTGAGCCAAGTTTCGGTCGCTGGTGTGCTGTGCATTGAACAGGATCTCTACATGAGACGCCGCTCTGAAGTTCTTGATGATCATGGACAAAACTTCTCTTCCCTTGATCAATTCAACATTCTTCCCCACCTGACCGGTTCTGGTCCCCAATCGCATATTCACCGCACTTCCATCATCCTTGGCATCCGTCACCACTGTACCCATAGCAAGGCCCAATTTGGCATCGATGGGTTCAAACTTTTCTCCTCCAGGACCCAGTCCTGATCTGGATTCTCCAATGGTTTCCAATCTATTCGATCCATTCTTTCTGATCCAAGCCATTGGTAGCAGATGACAGCCTGAACAAGGTTGGCTTTCCACAATAATAGATCAGAAACCTTTGGCCATGGTGGAACACAGATCATGTCAGATTCCTTTCGAGGAGCCCTCGAAGATGACGAACTTGTTGACATCACTGAGTGAACAGATGAAGAGGATGCGGACGTCTCAGTCAATTCGTGTTTAAGTTTTTCTTTGGCTTCTTCATGTTCGGCTGCTTCATGTAATTCATCACCATTCATGATATTCATCTCGAAGGATCCATACTTTATCAGCTTCGTTCTCAAAGAACTGAATGGCCTCCTTGTCGACATTGCGCGGTTCCTCAAAATTTTCGACCCGTTCCTGCACTTCTTCAATAGCTTTTTCCTTGATCATAGCAGGATGGGTCTTCGTACCAGTCGAATGCTCACTCGATGGGTCTTTCTGCTTCTTCTTGAGCTCGTCTACTTCCCTTCGCATCTCAGTATCGGACTTGGCATTTTCAGCCATTTGCTTCATCGTTACTTTGCATCTGTGTTCTCCAGCTTGCATTGTTCACAAAGACGGGCATAGGGCGTAGATTCGTCGGACAATTCGATCTTTGGCTTGACTCGAAGTTGTTCATTCGCTTCTCTCAGTTTCACGTTCACCTCACGAAGGCTCTCCTACTATTCTCCCGCTTCATAGATTCAGCGTGGGCTTCAAATGCCTTTTCCAATCTGGACGCTTCTTGACATTCTATTTGAGAATTGAACTCAATCTGCCGAACTTTGTTGTGGGGCCTCACCTCTGCATTCTCCATCGTGGTCCTTTCATCAAGTAACATAGCTTGCATTTCAGTCAAATGAGTGCTTTCAGCTAACCCATTGGTAGTCAACATCTTGTTCTGATCCCGGATGTAGTTGGTGGCAGCAATCTCGTCTCTCAAGGATCTCCCATGTGATGCTTGGCAACCGTGTTCCACGATCGCTCTTCCTTGATCGAATTGCTCCATTCTCTCTCTTTGGGAAACAGCCACAATTTGTTAGTTCTCGAACTGCAAATTCTGTACTTGTTGATACATCTGATGAGCAATGTGTTCAATCTCAGAATTCTTTGATCTGAAACTCTCTGGATTGCTCGTGACTCTCATGTGCACCATGAACAACATGGTTCAACTCGTCATTCATATCGATCATCCGTCGCCTCACAAGTGAATTGCTTCAGATTTAACGTTGTCATGTTCTCGAAGTGTTGATATTGATATGCCATGTGAGTGGCCCCTTCTTGAGCCATGGTGAGTCTCCTCTCTCGAGCTCTTCGATTCGGTAAGTGGCACCTTCATCTTCCTCTTGGAAATCTACGACAATCTTTCCCAGATGGTTGCAGTGTTCGCGCATCTCGTACATTTGTCTATCTGCATCATATCTGAACTCCTCAAAGCTTGTTCGCGTAGCATGACATTCATGTCGGCATCAGAGCGGGTAGGGATTCTTCCACGCCAGCCGCAGGCAACCCACGTGATCACATCAACGTTTCTTTGACAATGCTCTTCTTAGGTTGTCTCATATCTCCTCTGGTCATTTCCAACGTTGATCTCGGCAATGTAGACCTTGAAGCATTCCGCGGTGTCAACGTTCTCGTTGTCCTCTGTGAAGGTCTCGTCAGTCTTGAGGGCATTGCCTTGCAGCATCTTCAAGCGCATGTCCCGATACTTGTGAACCTGGTGTCAACTGCGAAGTGGCACCCGGCGCGGCAGCAAATGAATAGGTCGTTCCACTCATTTCATCCGTGCCCAACATCTCAGAAAGTTGGCCGTCGAGACTGAGCGGTCTAGGCAAGATTCTCTCTTCGAAATCCAGCTAGTCTCTCAGCCCAGCTCGTAGCAGAACGCTACGGCTGATAACCTGCGAGTCGGCGTAAGCGCCGGTCGACCTCAAGACACTCGCTTCTTTGGCGCCCTTGAGCCAAATGTGCGATTGATGTATGTACAAGAGGTATACAATCCTGTTACGTGCAACTTGTGCGTGTGGATTCTGCGCTGTTCACATTTCGGCTGTGATTGGTGCCATAAAGCCACAGTTGCCCCATCATTAGGGTCACTCTGGCTTCAGTGGTCTTGCATCTCACTCGGAACACGCTTCAACTGATTCATTAAAAAACGTCATCGCGCCAGAAGCGCGTGCATGCCAACTAGTGACTAGTCTGACGAAATGGAAATGGATAAAACATGGGTCAAACATACACATACAAAGCGTGGTTTCTTCATGTTTCTTCTTCCTAGAGACCTGAGAGGCAACTGCCTGTCACCCAGGATCTTGCAACGCATCTCCCTCCGCGCTGAATGTGTCCTGCTAAGCTTTCCTACACTGCACATGGTGTGCGTTGTTTGTGTCTCTTTGCATCGCCAAGCTACAGTGTGACCGCCAAACGCTGCCTTTGGCCGGCCAAACGCCTCAGGGCCAGGACCAGGATCACCACATTCATCCAGATACCACATGCGTCCGCATACACTGGTCAGATTGCAGTTTCACTGTGGGAGGTGGACAAGTGGAGAAGCGGAATTGCAGGTGTAATATGTGTGTGTCTGGCGCGCACCTTGGCTCCGCTCACCTCCTCTTGCTTCAGCTCATTCTGATGGATGGCAACCGGCACTTGCTTTGGCGTAGCCTCATGCTTGTGCCGTGCACTCACCGCCAAAAAAAACACTTGCACGAAGTTCCTCCTACAAAATGCGCTTCTCAGTTTCGACTGTGATTGGTGCCACAAAGCCACAGTTGCCCCATCGTTGTAGGGTCACTCTGGCTTCAGTGGTCTTGCTTGGATCTCACTCGGAACATGCTTCAGCTGGTTCATTACAAAACGTTATCGCGCCAGAAGCGCGTGCCTGCTAATTAGTGACTAGCGTGAGGAAATGGAAAGAGTCAAACATGATTTTAAAAAGGTCTGGCTTGCTCATGTTGCAGTGTGCGCAGGGAAGCGAACCTAAAAGAAGAAACAGTGGAAAATGAACGCGGCCTTTCAACGCAAAGCGTTTGAGTCAAGCTACGGCGCGCGAACATCCAAACGTACGATCACGTCAAGCTACTATACGCTACCTAGCTATGACCTTCACATAGCCAGAAAAGGATGTTGACATGATCGAGCGCACAAACCGTACACCACCAGGCGCTGTGCCTTCCGTAGGCCTTTCCTGTGTTTCTCTAACCTTCGCTCTTCCTCCGTGTCCTTGAGAGATATAGCCAGAGACCTGCAGAAAGTTTCTCTCAGGATGTTCTTCACCCGTGTTGGCGGTGAGCTGGAACCAGAAAAGATCAGACAGAGGCACCTGACTCGAGGTGGTTGCGGGCCACCATTGGGTCGAGCATGGCCTGCCATTCTGTAGGGCTCCGGAGACCTGCAAGGCAGCCCGCCGATTCTCATCGATCACCAGTCGACCGTAGAAGTGGCGGTCCGCACAAATGCTCATTCAGCACTGTGGCGGCAGCCCGTCCGGCGCAAGCTGCTGGAGAGGTGGGGACATGCAAGGCTGTTCTTGTCCAGCGTGGGGAATGTCAGCGTGTTCCCATCGCGTGGATGAGGATGTTGGCCTGAGCACCGACGACCTTTTGAAGCTGCCCGCCAGGATGTCCAAGGACGAGAAGAAAATCCTCCACGAGCAGCTGAAGAAGGATCAAGAGGGGGAGGTCTTTGAGATCTTTGGACGCTCTTCAACACCTGAGCGGTCCATGATGAAACGTCCACAGCAGCGCAAGGTGAGGTCAGGTACACAACCACCATGCAAGAGGCATCAGACATCCCGAACGCCGACCAGGAGCATTGCTATTGTCGCCGCAAGTATGAACGTGGGGAGCAACGCACATTATGCAAAGACTGCAAGTTGCGCAGGGTCCTCTACCATTCCAGGGTCCATGGAGCGATGACAGCATCGGCAGCACCGACGTCCAAGGAGGTGAGCCGGCAGCGCCAGAGGATCACGAGGCAATGATGCAAATGAACATGCCTCCAGGCCATGTACCGTGGCCGGCAAGATGTGGCATGATGAGATCCAACCACCTTGGCTAGCACTACTACCATGCTGAAGAACACTTTCGCTTTAGGGCTGGAAGCCTGATACTGCCTACAAAGGCCTATATCTATTCCATCCAAGATCTATGATCGCAAGAGTTGGGTGCGCATTGCCATGGTGGAGAACACTAGCACGGACAACAGGGTTTCCCAGTGGCGTGGACTGGTTGGACCTGCAGAGTTGGCTTGTTGGAAGGTCCAGATCAACTTCGCGCTTGAAGTCATGTCTCTTTCCAGGCCACCGCCTGATCAGTGATCCTCACTCTTTGGCCTTGGTTCAAGATGCTCGGATGCCCTGGACAACATCTCAGACTCAGGCGTGAGGCCCCACCCCCAGCCAGGCACACAATACCAACTGGCTGCGGCTACGTGGCAGGAGTTACCTGACCTGACGTTGGGGCAAACTTCATCTCCTTTCCAGTGGCCTCGCCACAGCCGTCACACGTGTAGTTCTTCTTCCTTGCATCGGGGCCCATTGTCTGGAGGGCGTTGCTTGCCCTCCTTTGTCTTTGCTCTTTGACTTACATTCTCCGTTCTAGCCAGGGCCCTTGCGCTGCAGGGCTGTCTTGCGCTTTGCCGTCCAACCGGCTAAGAACGCTTCCTGAACGGCTCCCTCCAGGTCGTCTTCATCATCTTCATCATCTGCATACCCTCATACTGGGCATCATCATCCTCATAGTCCTCTTCTTCGGGCATGTCTTCCTCTGCCATGAGCACCTCACGCTCCAGACCTTAGCATCTGGATCGCCAAAAGAGTCCTCCAACTCCTCATCATACTCGTTTTCGGCATCTGCCCAATGAGTGTGGTGGGTCGGCGGGGTGCTGCGGCGCGATCATCTTGATAGCCTGAGTCCGCTCATCTAAGCGAAGTTGACTGCACCTGAAACGAAGTACCCGTTCAATGCCCGCTGGCTTGTAGGAGCCGCTGGCAGTGTACTCGGACTGTTTCTCCTCGAAGCGCTCGTCCGCCTTTTCTCCATAGGCATCTTCCACAGTTTGAAAACCTGTTGGGACCACCTGGCACCCTGTCCCAGCTTTGCGCGGCTGCGATCACTAGAACTGTACCTGGTATCAGTCCCTCGCTCCGATGGCTCAGCTGCTCCTGACACAGGTCCGGATGAAGGCTTTGTGTCCTTGGGAGCCGTCTTCTTCTTGGCTAAGGCAGCGAAGCCAAAGTGAGCTGCAGTCACCACCTGGGCCGTCCACCAAAAGATCCAGAACCGCTGTTTGTGCCAACAAGGTCCTTGGGCACACTAGGACCATCTGTAAGTTCTTCTTCTTCCTAATCCATAGGATGAGTCACTCTCGTCCTCCTCATCCTAACTGTCATCGTCATCATCATCATCATCATCATCTACGCGTGGGAAGAAGGAGGGGCCTGTTTCTTGCCCTTCTCAGGCTCAGGCTGCTTCTTCACAGGTACAGTAACTTCTTCGGAGGGCTTGACTTTTTTGAAGTCTTCTTGCCATGAGTTGGAGGAGGAGGCGCTGGTTCTGGTGGCTTCTTTGGCCCAGTGGGATGCTGTTGCATCTCACGGCTCGCGAGCTGCCACGATCCAAAGGCACCTGAAGCCTGGGTCTGAGAAGAGGTGTCCTCCTAGTCCAGATGGGCTGCCGCCCTGAGCCAGCAGGCTCAGCCATGGCCCCGATTGAAAGATCAGGAGCTCCGCTACCAATGCGGAGTGTCAACCTAAAAGAAAAAGCAGTGGCAAAAGAACGCGGTCTTTCACCGCAAAGCGCTCGAGTCAAGCTACGGTGCGGGAACATCCAAACATACGATCATGTCAAGCTACTATACGCTACCTAGCTATGATCTTCACACATGTTTCTTCTCTATGGGCAAGCTCGTTCGCGCTGTCGCGCAGTGACCTGCACTGGGAGTTCGGTGGTGAAAAACGGGTGTCGAAACGGTCCTTCACATGCTTACCTAGCCTCTTGCTGTTTCAAGCCTCTCCATGGGCACAGACAGTTTAGACTGTTGGATTCCGCTGAAAACTTCCATCTTCCGGAATCGAGACTGGCTTTCTATCCACCCCACCGCTCCAAATCATCTGCTCAGACCCAGACTGCTCCAGCTGCAAGGCTGCCAACCTGTGACGGAACTTTGTTCCACAGAAAATTGACAATGCATCTCCCTTCACACTAAATGTCTCTTGTAAAGGTTTCCCCACACTGTCACTACACATGGTGTGCGTTTGTGTTCGTTTGTGTCTCTTTGCGCGGCCAAGCTACAGTGTGACCACCGAATGCTGCCTTTGGCTGGTCAAACGCCTCAGGACCAGGATCACCACATTCATCCAGATACCGCAAACACTGATCAGCTTGCAGTTTCAGGAATTGGAAGGTCTTTTGAAGTGTTGTATGCATGTGTGTCTGGTGCTCACCTTGGCTCCGCTCACCTCCTCTTGTTGCAGCTCATTCTGGTGGATGGCAACGGATGCTTGCTTTGGCGTAGCCGTAGCCTCATGCTTGTGCTGCTTACTCACCGCCAAACTGGGTGCAAAGGATTTATGCCAACAAACACTCAAATGAAGCTCACCCAACAAATGCGCTGTCTAACTTCGGTTGCGATGGGTTGCCTCGTTGCCACTGGGCTAGCAAGGCCTTCTGAAGTGTAGTATGATTAGCATGTGGATGCGTTGCTCATTTGGTGCGCACCTTGGTCACCTCCTCCTGTCGCAGCTGATTCTGGTTGTTGGTGACGGACGCATGCTTTGGCCTTGCCGCAGCCTCATACTTGCGCAGCGCACACGCCACCAAACCGGGCGCATAGGCATCGCTTGGGTCTGCTCGCATGAAGGCTAGGACATGTCCAACTAGCAACTAGCGCTCAAACGAAGGTGTTGTGATGGCCAAGGGGCAAGGCCAATTTGTGTCAAATAGTCCGCTGACATCATTGGTTGCTGTGCCTCAGGGTGAGCACGAGGCCGGCTGCCACAACATGCATAGCACTTTCTGAAGGCCGAAATTGGACGCAAAATTGCATAGATGCCTCACTTCTGGAGTTGCAATGTTGGCAACGCGATGCCAGGCACGCGCTGACAACACCACTTCACATCAAACACACTGCCGGGGCCTCATGGCTCCGGTGCGGCGCTGCTGTTTCCTGGCCACGGTGACGACAGTTTCCGAAGCGCTAACAAATTTACACTGCGCTCTTTTGTTTCGGCTGCGCTTGGTGCCAAATTTAGCCGCAGTTCCCACTTTGTCAGGTTCACCCTCGCTTGCGTCTGGATGTGTCAGCTGGCACATTCATCATCATGCTAAGTGAAGAACCTAACAACAGCTGCAACTCCTCGCAAAATTGACAAAAAGAAACACAAAAAGTACAGGTATACACAGTGGTCGTGGTGTCGGGGCTTTGTTGTGGGAGCTGTGGCGTGTAAAGGTTGGTTCGTGTAAAAAAAAAAAAGTTGTGCTGTCTATACGCTGGTCTGTGTAGCGGCTATGGCTTGTAAGAACTGACTGTGTTGTGTGCAAATGCTGCTTTGGGTAAAAGCTGTGGTGTGGCTTTGCAGCGGTGAAGCTGAACTTGTTGGCACGGTCTCAAGCACAGGACAAAGGTCGAGCAGAGGGCGCAAAACGCACTGCTGGCGGAGGCTGGCGGCAGCAGGCACGAACGCTAGCATCAAAGTCCAGCCGTTGGCACCGTGAAAAGCGGCGTTAGCGGCTTTTCTGCGGTGTTTGTCGGCAACGGCTGAGCATTCTGCAGGTCATGTACAGTAGAGTGGATGTGAAGTGCAAAGCAAGTGCGCAAGCGGCTGCCAACCTGCAAACCTCTCAAGCCAGTCATTGAAAATGTCACACAAAACATGGTTCTAAGATGTTCTAAGGGGAGAATGCGAGAATGCCCGTCCGGCAAAATCTTACACTTAGACCCTAGCAGCTAGGGATCTTGTTGTTTCTTAAAGTGGGCTAGGAAAGCCTTCTGAAGCATAGTATGATTAACATGTGAATGTGGATGTGTTGCTCATTTGGTGCGCACCTTGGTCACCTCCTCCTGTTGCAGCTCCTTCTGGTCATTGGTGACGGACGCATGCTTTGGCGTAGCCTCATGCTTGTGCTGCGCACTCACCGCCGAAACTGGCACATAGGGCTTGCTTGGGTCTGCTCACATGAAGGCTAGGACTAGGACATGTCAAGCAAACACCCAAATCAAGCTCTTGCCTGTACCTCACATGTATTTTCCGAGGTGTGCTACTAACAACATGCACTGTGCGTTTCTTTGTCTGAGCGGGTTGTCATTACTGCCAAACCAAGTCTTGGTCGTGTTCACTATGGCTTCAGTGGTCTTGGCTGCATCTCACTCGGAACCTTCAATGCTGAAACTGACATCATGTCAGAAGCGCGTGCTTGCAGATTAATCCAGCATTACAACTCAACAGCAGGTAGCAACGAAGGGACCAGGGAGGACACAAGGGACCCGGAGGGGGGGCCCGGCAGACTAGGACAAAGGGACCACAGGACCAAGCAATAAACACTTGACACGGGACCAAACAGCACCCAACCAAACAGAAGCCTGGCACACTACATTGTTTTTTCTGCCAATCTTTGGCATTGTCTGAATGATGAGTGGGTTGAGGAGGATTTCTGAATCGTCCACCCCTCCCATAGGAGCTTGAACAATCTTGACAAACAAAAAGGTCCGTCTCCGCTCTCCTCCGAGCTAAGAGTCACAGTAGCTGTTACTATTAGTAAGGCCCTTCTTCCTAGTAGCGATGCCAGGAGCCCCTAGTAGCGTCCTTGCTCCTAGTAGTATGGCCAGGAGCCCCTAGTAGCTTCTTGCTCCTGGATTCTAGATACAGCTTCGAGTTTCGGTCGTCTTCTCGAGCCTGTGGAGGATTGTCAGGACCATGAATCCCATGAATTTCTCCTGGCTGTGGCGCCTGCAAAGCCAATCAACAACACTACTCTGCGCCAACAGTTGGCCCAGGGTGGATTTCAATTGCGTCAGAGAAGTGCCAACAAAAGGAAACACACGCCTACAGCTCAAGGTAGCTGTTAAAGCAAAGGAAAAAGAAACGAAACCCATTTACGGTATATATATATATATATACTCAGAATTTTGGGCAAGCGCCGCAGTGACAAGTGGAACAAAAATAGCAAAAGTAGCGACCACTGTTCGTCCAACCTTGCACATGCTATTCGATACACCATACATGCACGTATTCCCTGGTTTGTCAATAACTTTGGCGCCCTCCACCCTTATATATACCAACATGCACTTCACAAAAACGCTCGAACAATGAACAACAAAGTGAACATTTGGAACAATGCCACCTGGCAGTTCCAGTCACGTTTCCCCCGGCCAGTGGAGGCGGAGGAATGCGAGGACCACGAAGCACTCCTGGGCCCGCTGCCTGCGTGGCACTCTCCGCGACAGGTCCAAAAAACATGATGTCAATTTGCTTGCGTCGTCGAAAAGAACCAACGGAAGGAGACATGTCTGCACCTCCTACAGTAAAAGCCCCCCACTGCTTTGGTCAAGTTTTCTTCACCCTGGCGCCTTTATTATCGGCGGAGGCCCGTCGGAAGGAAGATGATCACCAACTGGCCCTGGAGCCTGCAGCGCGGTTTACAACAAAGTGAAAGCCGAGACTGGAGAGCATGAAGCGAAAGAACCTTTTTGGGGGGTCTATGTGGCTCATCGCCCACAAGCGTT